GCGTGCAATTAGAAATCAGGGATTTACGGGGCGGCAATAAATCGAAAAAGCAACGCGGCTAATGGCGCACGCGTATTGACGTATCCATCCAACTATCGTTCATCTTTCTCACGAGTCGCAGCGGCCGCCTCGCGGCTACTCGCGATCCTCTCCACGCTTCCTCCACCTATTTCACCATCCCTCCTACCCTCTTTTTCCATCCACTTCTCCTCTTCATCCTCCGTTAAATCACCATACAGTCGAAAGGATAGCGCATTCTTCCTTCTTCTTGGGCGTGTTGTTGCTCTTGCGCCGCTATCCCTGCGTTGTTGTGTGGAGCGGACGGACTCGCTCGCGCGCGCGCGTCGTGAGCGTAAGTACGCTTGATTTACGCTAAAAGCCGTGTGCCCGGCCCCGGTTCGTTCAATCTTTATCGAGGGGGTAATGCGATGATGATGGACGAGCGACGATTTGTAGAGGCGGAATGCGCGCCGCGCTACGATATATATGCGCCTCCGACGTGGAACGGTGATTATTGTAACTCGAGACCGGGACGCGGCCAGGTAGAAAGCGCTGGAATTTCGTAGGCCTCGGGAGAACCGTCGGGGAAATTCTACGCGGGGAATTGTTTCGGTGGGGGCGAGACGGGATTTTATCGGATTTCGTGGGAATCGAAAGCGAACGATGAAGTCATTTTCGTTCAGGGGGGTTTCTCATGTTAAGTAGTACGATCGAGCATTTCGCTTCCTGTCGCTCGGAGACAATGCGATTCTTCTTTTTTCTTTCTTCTTTTAGGGTGAACGGAAGTGGGCAGGGAATTTTTCACGAGAGTAGGGGTGTGTTGAATTATTTATTCTGGAATTATTGTCGAATTTGTGCAAACTTGATCTACCTGTTCTCCGTTGAAATTACTTAACACGCTCGCTGTCAGAGTTACGTATTTGTGACGCGCCAATTCTTACGATATATCACTGCTATCTGTATGTAATATGTTATAAAAAATACACACAGTTTATGTAATTAATACATATTACATGTGCACGAGGCTGATAAAAATATAGATACTAGGAAAGTAAGCAAAAATGTTTCAGCAGTAAGGTAATAGCAAATGTGTTAAAATACTTGAAGCATCTTTACAGAAAGGCATTCTAAAGTCCAAGTAGTTCCTTGTACAAAATTGAACATTGAAAAAATAACAATTCTTTCGAAATAATATTTCGAATAGTGATCTAACAATGAATTTACATGACAATGATCTATTTCTTCACTCAGACACATTATACACTAGTGGTTTCTTATTCTCTGAAATTGAACATTGGCGAGATGTCAATTCTTTCAATACAGTAATTGAAATTGTGATCCAACGATGAATTGACATGGCAATGATCTATTTCTTCACTCAGACACATTCTAAACTAGTGGTTTCTTATTCTCTGAAATTGAACATTGGCGAGATGTCAATTCTTTCAATACAGTAATTGAAATTGTGATCCAACGATGAATTGACATGGCAATGATCTATTTCTTCACTCAGACACGTTCTAAACTAGTGGTTCCTTATTCTCTGAAACTGAACATTGGCGAGATGTCAATTCTTTCAATACAGTAATTGAAATTGTGATCCAACGATGAATTGACATGGCAATGATCTATTTCTTCACTCAGACACATTATACACTAGTGGTTTCTTATTCTCTAAAATTGAACATTGGCAAGATGTCAATTCTTTCAATACAGTAATTGAAATTGTGATCCAACGATGAATTGACATGGCAATGATCTATTTCTTCACTCAGACACATTCTAAACTAGTGGTTTCTTATTTTCTGAAATTGAACATTGGCAAGATGTCAATTCTTCCAATATATTACTTCGAATTGCGCTCCAACGATGAATTTATCTGATAAAAACCTGTCGCTTCACTCAGACAATCTTTCAACTGCTAAATATCATTACCAACGCTTCGAAATTTACAAAAACAGCGAGCTACCACGAAAGATCCATCGATCAATTTCAATCTTACCGCCAACCGTTACAAAGAAATGTGTGTAATTCACGAAAGCAAGGGTCTACCGCGAAAGATCGAGCAAAAGAAGACACTTTCACCGTGTCCACCCATAATCCAACCTCGTCAACCCCCTGCGAAACTTTCACCGCGCGAAATCCCCCGGCCGATAATCTAGCTTCCTCCTTCGAATGGCCAGGTTTCCACGGAAACACGTGAACGGCACGGACTGCACGCCGGCGGCAGCATAGAAAATCGGGAAGCGACCAGGGGAACGGGCACGGCTAATCGTGTCGTAAACATCGAGAACGCTGCCGGCCGCGGCGTGATTTCTCGAAGCAAGGAAATGCAAGATCACGCTGCCCGCCGCGACCTTTTTTAACGATCCGAGGCAGCCGCTCGGATTACCATAACCGATCGATTACCGAGCCTTCTACGAGCGGTTTCACCGCGAGATGAAGACGTTAAGGCACTAGGACTGCCTCAAGCTCGGAGACTGCGATCGCCGCTGTCACGAGCCAACACGGTCCGCGTTTTCACACCTGGAGTACTGACGGACGTCGGAATCGCGAGTAGCAGAGCTTTTCTCGACGGTCGTGCTACCCTACTTCCGGAGAAAATCAGCGGAGGAACGTGGAGCAGAGGCGGAGCACGTTAGAAATGATTGCCGGGAGGAAGAAGGTGTTGCTGAAAATTAGACGTTTCGTAATTGTGATTAACAGGTTCGGTGTACAGAGTGGGGCACGTGAAACAGGCCACATAATTGCCTTCTCTGGCCACGGTGGAGAATTTTTGTGCGTAATTTAAATGGATCCAAAGGGTAAATAAAATGGAAGAAATGGCAAAGAGTGAAAGGAAGTTTCTCATGTCATTTCGTTAAGATTCATTTCATTAGAGTGAAAAAGAGAAGTGGCATTTATAAAGAAATTTTGCCTTCCATCCTATTCACTCTTAGGAGTCATTTAAATTACGTGTAAAAATTTTCTCGCATCACGATAACTAGACTACATTGCGTTACAGAGTGTTAGGGGTTAGTCGAAGGTTCGTCGGGTCAAGCTTAGGCGAAATTTTCAAGGGTGAAAGTCTACTTCCGGTTACGAACAGTTAGATAGTAAACAACTTTTCCGTATTTAAATCACGGGACCGACGTACCACTTGGTACGGAATAATAAATCAATGTTTTGCAGTTGATAAAAAAGCTTGTTTTTCTTTCCTCGGCTTAAGTATGCTCATTGGTACAACAACGGGGTAATAAACTATCCGAAGCGTGTGGTACAGGGGAAAAGTGCACGCTGCACCGGCGCCTGTGCTCCGAGAGGAGAATTCGCGAGCGTGCACGAGTCTGCCCACTGGCATTGGGCATTATTATCGCGTTACCACGTAATCGGCCGTATAACTTACGCCAATATGAATTATCATTAACGCTCTGGGCGATCGCCTTCGGCCGGGATTTCGAGTCCAGTTTTCATCGTCGTCACGGTGGCGCGTGTCACGCGTGTCTGTCACCGTTCTGAATATTAAAATCCTCCGGGGAACACTTGGCGCGTTTCGATCGATCATGTGCAGGGAAACGGAGGTCTCTACGCGTAGATAATTTGCGGAAATGCGTCGTCGACGCGTTGATTCGACGACGCGGCGTATGCGGTTCAGGATGCGTTGCACCGTGTGCCAGTGTCGACAGCACGTGTCACAGTCGACTATATACACGAATCCTCCGTTTATAAAAAGAAGTATAGCATCCTATTTAAAAAAAATAGAGGTTACCTCGAATCCCATTAACAAAAAAGTGGAAATGGCTTTGAAATCTCCTCCATATCTCCACTCAAATAAAATTTCGCATACAACATTTGCCCGTATTGTTGGAAATAACGGAAATATTCCGCGTGGACACAGTTTCTGCACCGCACGGTACAATATTCATTACGTTGTAACGTTCGTCGGTCTCTCCTCTGTTCGCATGGATCGCGCAACGATGATCAGGCAACGAAAGCACAGGCCAGGCAAAGGAGGGCCGCTGCGAGGAATGTGTTATCCACATTCGTGCCAGAGCGGAGGAGATCGTATCGCTCATATATCGTCTAATCGATGAACAACGGCTAGATCGCGAGGCAACATCGGTCGTGCGTCAACGAATCCGATCCGCGGTGATAGCGCGGGCAAGCCGCAATCGACATCCGATCCTACGTGGCGCGCGCGGTCACGATTAAGACAATAAGATTTTACGATGTCCCCTATTTCAAGCAAACTCGCCAACAGTTTTATCCTCGCGTACGATCTATGTCTGTTTCGTTATTACGTTTTCATCGGTACAAAACCTCTGGGAGAGACATCAGAAACGGAGAGGCGGCGAAGATTTTACCGGAAGATGACCTACTCAAGATGGTGGAGGAGCGAGAGATAGGCACGGCTAAAAGCCGATCATTTAATAACTTATACGCCAGGCTAAAGATTACGATCGAGCTTGGTACCAGGCCGAATCGGATCACGGCCTGTAATCAAATGCTGTTACCGACTTTTATTACGCCGTTAATGCGGCTACGATCGTTTGCTCGTACGCGAGCCTCGCGTTTCCTTCCCTCTTCTTCCTTTTTTTCTCTCTCTCTCTCACCTTTTTTTTCGCCAACCTGTGTGCCTGTGCGTGTTGCACTCGTTTGCATTGTAACCCCGAGGGCGGTGTGTTGGTCGTTTAATCGAGCAAATAAATTCGGACGAGTTCGATATCGGAGGAAGAGAGAGAGGGAGGACAGAGAGCCGCGAAGTTGGCGCATGAATGAGAGGTACAGGAACGGTTTTGCTCGAGAGGTAATTAATTTTTTTCGAACTTCTGTGTTGCAGGATGCACCGACGCCCACGGCAGACCCGTTCTCGAGTTCGAGGACGAGCCGACGAGGAGAGAGGCCCTCTCGGTTAAGGACGTGTCGTCGCTTCTACTCTACCTCGCCCGTTTACCCAGGTAATTAATAATTGACCGGTTGAAATTTTCGCTCGTTAGCTCGTGCAGAGGTTTCGGCGATTTCTTCTTCTTTCGGGTATAAATGCTGGTGATTTTCTGTTTTAATTTGCCAGCCCGGGTGTTCTCATCATCTCTGTTGTGGTATTTGTGGGGAGGTTTTATTGCGACGTTCGGATACTTTGTTCGGTTGTCGCGTAACTTATTTTTGAGGATATTCGTCTAATTGGAGGGAATAAAAATGAGCCTTGCTTTAGCGATGACGAGTGAAACGATGTATTAACCCCTTGATTTATGGTTCTTTTGCTGGTTCTGCGTGTAAACTTCAGCTATTTACCGAGAAAAGCTGCATCATCTATATTTGGCCATCTTCAATGTCGTAAGCACAATCTGTGCCACGGTTAAAATGAAATAAATTAAAAAATATTTCCCAAGTTTTCCTCGTTGTTGCTTATAAAATTATTCGGTATTTTTATTATGCGAAAATACGATAAAAATTGGGGTGCCAAAGTATCAGGCACCTTACTGATCAGTCAACTGATTAATGAAACGATTAGGAAAAATAAAGGAAAGCAGGATTCTCCAGCTCTCGCAACAATTTCATTAGCTTTTCAATCGTCCAAAAATTGCCGCGTTACGACCAAAGGTGAGAAGGATTGATCGCGGTGTCCGCTTTTTCCGGCAATCACCGTCGCAATAATAACGGCGATTCATTAATCCGGCAGGGCGAGGAGCGAGCTTTCCAGCGGGCGGACGTGATCGACGACGGTTTCCGCAATAATTATAATTTTCCACGGCCGTGACATCAGCGGCACGCCCACCGTAATCACGGACGAGGTGCAAAATCTCGCGGCTCGTGTATCCTTCCTCCACGACGATACCTTGGCAAACTACGAATTTCCCAGCAGAACGACGTGTCGGGACTGCCTCCGCGCGCGCACCAGGCCACGCGCGTCTGCCTATTAATTAGCGGAGGGCGCGACGTTTTTCTAATTACTCCGGGGCTAATCGGAATCCAGCTGAAAAATCGCTATCGTCGGTAATTACCGTGCTCGCCGCGCGATAATTCAATTACACGCTGATAAACGATCGGCCTTATGGGGATTTTCAATTAATTCCATCGTTCGCGGAGGGCTAACGAGGAGCGAGCTCCTTGATCAATCAGTTACCTGCTCGCTGACTTCTCCGAATTCTTCTCGTTCAGGAAAATAGAGCAGAATTTCTTCTGTCTGTAATAAATTACGGGTGGGAGAAATCTCTGGACACTGTCAGTAATAGAGCAGAGTTACGTAGATCTTACTCATTTGGGAAATGAGGTTTTTTGTGAAATATTCGGCTAGCAAGAAAAGTGAAATTTTCCGAAAATGTTTTCACTTTTCTGTAATTAGCGTGTCGAAATCAGCGACTCAAGGCCATTTCTTCCACCGCTACTCTTCTATTTCTCTTCCAAACACTCCACACTTTTCTTTCCATTTCTCTCACTCTACCCTCTCGCTCTTCAAACTTTCCCCTATTTTTAGTTTTCGCAGCACGATAATAAAGCTCGGTATCTCGGAAATCGTGAAAAATTTCATTACCTCGCATTTCCTCAACCCTTCTCTCTTCTATTTTCCGTCCGCCTCTAGCGTTCGATCGTAACGAAAGCTTCCTATTACAGAGGTGACTTTAATAGCGTCATTAATATTCGCGTGTAATCTCTGTCATTGGTCCCACACCGTGGCCTAGGTATTGTTCGTATAAATTCTCGGTGGTGAAACTTCGCTTACATACCGCGTAGAAATTAATTTCCGCGTTTCATGCGTGCCTGTATATGTGCCCGGTGCATTACGCCTTCTCACCGTTGATATCGCGACAAACGTTCGAACCACACCGCCACTTGTTATCTCACCGTTTCACACCGTGTACCGCGTATTGTACGTACTAATCGCGCGTAATTAAGCGCACGAACGAGAGAGGTGGTGCGAGCCTCTGTGTGCAAAGGTGTGGTATATATAATCGAAAACGGGTAACAGGTGTCGCGTTTTCTCTTCGGGGTGAATTCTTTCTTTCCCTTTTCTCTCGCCTACGGTTGGCGAATTTTCGATCGTATCCTCGAGGTAGACCGCGGCGTTAAAACGGTGTTCACGCAGTGGTTCCGAGGTGAATAAAGGCCGGCGTTGTGGAACGGGAAAGGCGGTAAATCATGCGCCACTTAACGCGTCGGGGGAATAGAATTTTGAATAACGATCGTCCATTATCGCGGCGTATCGAGGAAAGCGTGCAACAACACGAGGAAACTGAATATATTTCACATTACGTAATATGTCTATTGTTCGGAGAAAGTGCATATTTCATTGATAAGAATCGGGCATAAGGCCAATTTATTTTATTGCTATCGTTGCCGTGTGCCGTTTAGCCCCGGCCGCCTCGTCCCTCTTCGATCGATCCAAACAGACCACTGGATCCCTGCCAATTCCTACGGCCGCCTCTGTTCGACCACCTCCAACAGCCTGCCGTGCAATTTCCTCGCTCGAGAGTGCTCTCTGTGATACCTGGCCGCCGACCAGGCTTTTCATTTCACTCTTTTCGGTGGCCACTTTGAGAAATTGCCTTTCGATCGTGTGGGATTTTTGGAATTCGAAAGGACCTCGGGGAAGAGGAATATGAAGAGATTTTTTCCAAATTTTTGAATTTTCGTCGCTGCAAATACTCTCGTCGAAATTATAAACGCAGTCGAAACTGTGCCACAATTTATTCTCTTCGAGGTAGCAATAGAAACGCAATATAGTACCAGGCCACGATATTACCCAAAGTGTTTATTATCGTTAATGCTTAATTCTTCAGTTAAATATACGCGTTTTTCCGTAGAGTATTGCGAAACAATGTGGTGGCCCACCGATGGGTCTTCCGCCACTGGAATGACCCAACAGTGGATCACACCATCCCAGACCTGTGAACTCATCTTATCTCTGTCAATTCTGTGATCTCGACGCTGGAAACACGTCGGAGCGATTTTACTGCGCCTCATTTCCCTCGAAACGTACGCCGCAAATTCCAGAAACACGGTTTCGAACCCGCGCAACGTCGAAACGAGCAACAAAACAGCGCCACCCCGCGAGGCGAGCGTTGCTGAAGCAGCAACAGCAGCCAGCAACCCGATGAATTATTTAGTACCAGGCCAGCAAACGAGCACGATCCCCTGGCAGTGAGCGCAGCACGACCGTAAACGCCCGGACGCGTGTTTTTTCCCGTCGGTCGATCGCGATTAAGAACCGTTTCGATCGGGACGGGCTAGCCTCCTCCTGTTCGATTGTCAGCGGGCCGGAGGAGTCGAAAGGCGATCGTAAAGGGGAGGACTCGCGTCCTCTACTCGACCGGTCGCTCGTTTAGCCGCGCTCTTCGCATGCTGCCCGCCTCGTAAAACATATCACGTACGATAGCCACGGCAGCCTATTGCGGTATCGTTGATCGCGCGGCTTTATGGTGCCCCGTGCAACCGTGCTGCTCACTCGAACAGAGAGAGGAATTCTGCTCGAGGCTCCCTACTTTCGAGAAACGTCCTATCTTTCACTGTCTTCTCGCTGATCGTTTTCGAAGGCAGAGGGAAATTCGGGTGGATTGGCTTGTGATTAGATTGCGGTGGTTCGATGCGAGTTTTTGGGGGGGATTTCTCTGAGTGAATTTACTCGGCTTTGATGGATGACTCTTCTCTTAAGAATCGCCCTATCTTTGCCCGTCTTTTTACTGATCTTTTGGGAGAGAGTGGTTTGAGGTGGTTTAACGTGGATTTTAGAGATACCTTTGTGAGTAAGTTTCGTCAATTTCGATGGGTGGCTTCGTCGATCTTCTGGAAATGAATCGAGAAATTTTTTATGATTCAGTTGTGGTGATTGTTGCGACATGATGAGGACGCAACGAAGTCTCGGTTCGACGGATTATAGTAATAAACAACTTAGTCACATTTGGCCGCCAGACCGAGGTGCCGACGTTCGGAAGACCGCAATATACCCCCCGTGGACTCACCAGCGCGACACTCGGACAATAGGTCCCAAAAACACTCGGGACCATAAAACATTCGTCACCCAAAAGGTCACAGTTTTCGTCGACCAATAGCCGAACGCACCACGTTTTCCACCTCCATAACACAACCACCAATCAGAACCAACCTAATGCCTATATGTACATCTACACACCTGAAAAGCGACAATCACAGTAAAGCGAGACACATCGTTAAAAAAAAGAATAATCGAATTTCAACTAAACATCTATCAAACATCTACTTACATCAACGAATCAAAAGAAAAACATCTAACCCAGCAACCAAGTTTCAATACACCTCGAACCAGCGAGAACTATCATCAACCTGCGCCAGCCCAGCTAACCCAGCAACCAAGTTTCAATACACCTCGAACCAGCGAGAACTATCATCAACCTGCGCCAGAACTCCTGGTCATAAGACTTGATCAAAGTCCACGACGCAACAGTGATTTAAGGTGGATTCGTGAGAAAAGTGAGAATTGTAAGGTGGATCCTGTCGAACTGCAAAGTACGAGTGGATGCTTATGAAAGATGCTAGACGAACTTTTAGCAACGCGAATGTGAGGTAACGACTCTGATCGAACTTTTCCCATGGCTCCTCGTGAAATCTCAGATATCAGGTCTGCTACACGTTCCTGCGTAAATATTCCGTGAATGTGTTTAAATAACGTTCGACGCGGAGAGTTTTCCCATGTGATTTTAAAAGAATCTTTAATGATGATGGAGTTCGCTCCAAGTTGCTATGAAAATAGTCAGATCGGAGAATATAAAAAATACGTGCTGGTTTAAAGATACACCTTACTAGAGAAATACCGCGTTGCATTTAAAGAGCATTTCAATGCAGGATTAGTCGATGTACATGCAGAGTCAACCAAAAGTTTCGAACCACTGTGCATTGCGAAATAACCAAGAATTTTTTTGACAACGTTAAGAAACAGTTGACAAATTTATCACTACTCAAATCTGCGAAAAACAGTTTGAAAAAT